TCTCCCCCTCTGATTTCTTCCCAATCAGTTTTCCCTCCCTTCCCCTATGGTCCTCTACACTATTCCTTATGTTCCACATACGAGTGAAACCATATGATAATTGTCTTTCTCTGCTTACCTTATTTCACTTAGTATGCTGTTCTGCAGTTCCATCCGTGTAGATGTAAATGGTAAGCATTCATCCTTTCTGATGGCTGAGTAATATTCCATTGTATAGGGATGCCTGGGTGGCTCAGTCAGTCAAGCATCTGCCTTTGGCTTAGGTCATGATCCCAGGGTCCTGGGCTCGAGTCCCATATCAGGCTCCCTGCTCAGTGGGGAGCCTGCTTCTCCCACTCCCTCTGCTGCTGCCGCTTCTCTCTTTGTCTGTCAAATAAATAAATAAATAAAATCTTTGAAAAAAAATTCCCTTGTATATATGGACCACATCTTCTTTATCCATTCGTCTGTTGAAGGGTATCTCAGCTCTTTCCACAGTTTGGCTATTGTGGACAGTGCTGCTATGAACACTGTGGCACATTTGGCCCTTCTTTTCACTACATCTGTGTCTTTGGGGTAAATACCCAGGAGTGCAATTGCTGGGTCCTAGGGTAGCTCTATTTTTAACTTCTTGAGGAACCTCCATACCATTTTCCAGAGTGGCTGCACAAGCTTGCATTCCAACCAACAGTGTAAAACGGTTCCCCTTTCTGCATATCCTTGCTAACACTTGTTTCCTGTCTTATTAATTTTTGCCATTCTAACTGGTGTGTGGTGGTATCTCATTGTGGTTTTAATTTGCATTTCCCTGATGGCTAGTGGTGTTGAACATTTTTTCATGTGTCTGTTAGCCATTTGTATGTCTTCTTTGGAGAAGTGTCTGTTCATGTCTTCTGCCCATTTCATGACTGGATTATTTGTTTTTTTTGGGTGTTGAGTTTGAGAAGTTCTTTATAGATCTTAGATAACAGCCCTATATCTGTAGTGTCATTTGCAAATATCTTTTCCCATTCCGTGGGTTGCCTCTTAATTTTGTTGACTGTTTCCTTTGCTGTGCGAAGCTTTTTATCTTGTAAATATCTATGCCCCCAACATGGGAGCAGCCAATTATATAAACCAATTAATAACCAAAATAAACATATTGATGATAATACATTAAGAGTAGGAGACCTCAACAATCCACTCACAGCAATGGACAGATCATCTACGCAGAAGATTGACAAAGAAACAATAACTTTGAACCAGATGGATTTCGTAGATATATGCAGAACATTCCACCCTAAAACAACAAAATAGGCATTCTTCTTGAGTGCACATGGAACTTCCTCCAGAATAGATCACATACTGGGTCACAAATCAGGTCTCAACCGATACCAAAAGATTGAGATTATTCACTGCATATTTCAGACCACAGTGCTTTGCAACTGGAACTCAACCACAAGAAGAAATTTGGAAGGAACTCAAACACTTGGAAGTGAAACAGCATCCTGCTAAAGAATAATTGGGTCAACAAGGAAATTAAGGAAGAACTTAAACAATTCACTGAAACTACCGAGAATGAAAATACATTGGTTCAAAACCTATAGGATACTGCAAAGGCAGTTCTAAGAGGGAAATACATAGCCATCCAAGTCGCTCTCAAAAAATTAGAAAAATCCCAAATGCACAAGCTAACCTTACACCTAAAGGACCTGGAGAAAAGACAGCAAATAAAGCCTAAATCAAGCAGGAGAAGAGAAATAATAAAGATTAGAGCAAGAAATCAATGAAATAGAAACCAGAAAAACAGTAGAACAGATCAACAAAACTAAAAGCCGGTTCTTTGAAAGAATTAATAAGATCAACAAACCCCTAGCCACACTTATCCAAAAGATAAGAGAAAGGACCCACATTAATAAAATCATGAACGAAAGGGGAGCGATAACGACTAACACCAAGGAAATACAATTGTTACAACTTATTATCAGCAGCTATAGGCCAACAGATTAGGCGATCTGGAAAAAATGGATGCATTCCTGGAAACCTATAAACTACCAAGACTGAAACAAGAAGAAATAGACAATCTGAACAGACCTATAACCAGCAAGGAAATTGAAGCAGTAATCAAAAGCCTCCCCCCGAAAACAAGAGTCCAGGGCCAGATGGCTTACCAGGGGAATTCTACCAAACATTTAAAGAAGAAATAATACCTATTCTACCCAAGCTGTTTCAAAAAAATAGAAATGGAAGGAAAACTTCCAAACTCGTTCTGTGAGGCCAGCTGTACCCTGATCCCCAAACCAAAGATCCCATCAAAAGAAGTACAGACCGATATCCCTGATGTATATGGATGCCAAAATACTCAAGATCCTAGCCGATAGGATCCAACAGTACAGTCAAAGGATTATTCACCATGGCCTGGTGGGATTTATTCAGAAATCAATCAATGTGATAGAGCACATTAGTAAAAGAAGAGCCAAGAACCATATGATACTCTCAATTGATGCAGAAAAAGCATTTGACAAAATACAGCACCCTTTCCTGATTAAAAACTCTTCAGAGTATAGGGATAGAAGGAACATACCTCAATAGCATAAATGCCATCTATGAAAAGCCCACACCAAATATCATTTTCAATGGAGAAAAACTGAGAGCTTTTCCCTTAAAGTCAGGAACATGACAGGATGCCCACTCTCATCGTTATTGTTCAACATAGTACTAGAAGTGCTAGCTTCAGCAATCAGACAACAAAAAGCAATAAAAGGCATTCAAATTGGCAAAGAAGTTAAGCTCTCTCTCTTTGTAGATGACATGATACTTTATGAAGAAACTCCAAAGACTCCACTCCCAAATTACTAGAACTCGTCCAGCAATTCAGACACATGGCAGGTTACAAAATCAATGCACAGAAATCAGTTGCATTTCTCTACACTAACAATGAGACTGAAGAAAGATAAATTAAGGAATCGATTCCATTTCCAATTGCACCAAAAACCATAAGATACCTAGGAATAAATCTAACCAAAGAGGTAAAGGATCTATACTCCAGAAACTACAGAACACTTATGAAAAAAAAATGGAGGCAGACACAGAGAGGTGGAAAAACATTTCATGCTCATGGGTAGAAGAATAAATATTCTCAAAATGTCCAATGATGTACTTACTGTATGTTGGCTACCTGAACAGGATAAAAAAAAGAAAAAAATCATTATATATATATATATGATAAAATATTATTCAGCCACAAAAAAAATGAAATCTTGCCATTTACAACAACATGAATGGATCTAGAGGGCATAATGCTAAGTGAAATAAGTCAGGCAGAGAAAGGCAAATGTCATATTATTTCACTCAAATGTGGGATTTAAGAAACAAAAGAAGTGATCAAAAAAACAAAAAAGGGAGACAAACAAACAAAAAAACAGACTCCTAAATACAGAGAACAAACTGATGGTTGCCAGAAGAAAGGTGGGTGTGGGGTAAGTGAAATAAAGTGGATTAAGAGTACAGTTATCTTTATAAGGACTGAGAAATATGTAGATTAATTGAATCTTTATATTGTACATCTGAAACTATATAACACTGTATGTTAATTATACTTCAATAAAAAAATTAATTATTTTCTACCAAAGAGAGAGAGAGAGAGAAAGTGAGAGAGAGATTACTATAACTAGATGCACTTTAGAAGTCAAATGATCATCTTTTAAATATCAAGTTGTGAAAGCAATTCTACAAGAAGTAGAATTGCATGTTATACATGATTTGTTACAACTTATCTTTCAAACTCTAAGGTTGTTTAAAGAAATATATTCTATAGGTAGATAAAGTGACATAAAATGGTTTCCTGTACCTAGGTCTTACATTTTTCAAAACGAATTAATAAACTGATGGAGTACATATGTATTTGACTTAAAAATTTGTCTGTGTATCATTGAGAGGCACCAAAGATATGGCAAAAAAATCACTTTGAATCTATCTCTGGGATCTACAATGACCATATATATATTGAGCCCCTGAATATGAAAGATCAAATTCTTAAACATAGAAGTTTTAATACCTATTGATTCTTTTTCCACTAAAGCAGTAGCCTGTCAATATAAGCACATTTGAAATGATACAATAATCTTGGATACTGGAAAAAAATCTAATTTAATACATAAGTGTATTATTTCATTTAATTTTATTTCATTTGGATGTTCAAGTAAATAAGAAACCAAAATATTAATTCATATTTATGAATAGTAAAAGTTGATAAAATATTTTAAAAATAAATAAAACAGGGGCACCTGGGTAGCTCAGTCGATTAAGGCTCTAACTCTTGATTTCACTCAGGTCATGATCTCAAGGTCATGGGATCGAACCCTGCCTCGGGCTTCCCGCTTGGCCCAGAGTCTGCTTGTCCCTCTCCCTCTGCTCCTCCCCCAGCTCACACACTCTCTCTCAAATAAATAAATAAATAATCTTAAAAAAAAATTAAAACAAATCTTCACTTAAATAAAAGCACATTATATAATCATCATCATCATCATCCATTAATCTCAGGACCAAAAGAGAAAACAAGATCACATATTGGACTGCTACTCATTCAATATTTATAAGGTTTTTCCTTCTTATTCTTTTCAATATTCCTTTTAATACTAGCATCAGTTTAACTTGATATTCATTACTAACATTCCCACACAGAGTATTGTCCTTAGAGTTTATAAATCTTTCATAGTTCAACTACATCTAGTGGTATGATTTTTAGTTTTACTAAATATTTAGTATGATTTATAGGTTTATTAAATATTATATAATGAATAAAGATTTTTGTTGTGACCTCTTCAATGAATTTCCAGTTTCAATGTGAAAAAAATAAAGCAAGATATTTTCTAAATTTTAATTATTTTACCTGGAGGTATAAGAAATGTATGAAGATGACTTGTCTCTATATAACATCATACAAAACATATTTGCAAAATATATGACACTTAAATAAACATGACATTATCAAAACACATATGATCAAATTTCATTTTATTGCTTTTACACCACTCCTGGAGATATTACAGGAACATTAGTGAATAGAGCAAGCTGGAGCTTCAACATAGAGCTCCTTCCTTAACATCAGCAACAAAAAGGCTTTGATCTTAGAGTTTCGAGTTTGTTCCAGATAGTAAAGAAGAATTCTGAAAATAAACCAAGTAATTATAACTTTCATTTAATTCAACCTCTAATATACACACATACAAACATTTTTGAAACTTTCAGTTTTATGCATTTCTTGTTATTAAAGTATATGTTAGATTAATTGCATGTCATTTTTCAAAACATTATCTAGAACTTTTTAAAATCAGTGATCTTTCTCTCAATGCTAAAAAGTTGATTTTAACTAAAGACTCACACCTTCAGCAAATTATAGTTAGACTCCTCTAAGCCCTCTTTTTACAAGGCCTTGGCCCTGTCCTTGGCCTGCTTTTAGCAAGAATACCGTTCAGCTAACTTAGTAGGAATGCTCCTACCCTTGATGTCTCCTTTTGTAATTTCATATTGACCTCTTCATTCTGCTCATTGGCTACAAATCCCTAGCTCTCTTCACTATATTTGGAGTTGTGTTCAATCTCCCTGCCCTATTGCAGTAGTCTTGAATAAAGTCTTAATTATTATCTTAAACAAATGTCAGAATAATTTTTTCACAGCATTGTTAAAAATGGAAAGGACTTGCCTATCTTTGATGGTAGCCAAAGCCTTCCAAAGACTATAGATCCTACTTACTTTTGCCCTAATTCTGGTCTAATTTTAATTAGTCAGTGTTCTTGGTTGAAACTGATATTGTCTACTCAGTATTAAGGGACATCCTACTACCATAAAAAAGCACTACATTTTATCCAACAACACTGTTGAAATACTATTCCTACCCCTACTTCTCCAGGGGTCTGTTTTTACTTATACCAGTCATTAATCAACAGAAATATTTCCTATATATTTTTCTAAATAGCTCACTGCCTTCCCAGGTCCTTGATTAACTGTTGGATCATTGATAATTCTTGAGTTGTACTTTCCAATATGGGAGCCACAAACCACATATGGCTATTTAGATTTAAACTAATTAAAACTAAAGATCTAGATTCTCAGTCACACTAGCCACATCTCAAGAGTTCAACAACTGCATATGACTCATAGTTCCCTTATTAGAAGGCACAAGTACAGAACATTTCCATTATCACAGGAAATTCTACTGGGGAGTGCTGTGGAGCTAAAGTTGTAGTTGACATGGAAGAGGTGGTTTGGGAGAATTTTTAAATGGAGCCAATATAGATTGAATTTGTTCATTGGGTTTCCTCTGCTAGTAGCTATAAGATCTGGATTTTTAAAAAATCAGCTGCAATTATTTGTATATGGTTTTGAATATTAGTTGATTTCCCTTCTATCATCAAATGTTATCATTGAAACATGTTAGCATGTTTCTCAACTCTGGCAGCATATTTGAATCACCTACAAAGAATCTGGTTTAACTGGTCTGGGGAAGGGAGCAGAGAATTAGTGTTTTATAAAAGCATTCCAGATGAATTCTATCTTGTAGACAGGCTTGAGAAGCACTAATTTAGCACACATATTAGCTCATTTAATCAAATTATTACATAATTAATATATATGGCACTGTTATCTGGATAGTCCATGGGGGCAAACTGAGAAGCTAGAATGGATCCAGTTTAAATAATCCCAGCAATTGCCATTCATGGGGACAGATTGCTATGTTGAACTAAAATTTATGTTGAAAAAAATCATTCTAGAGAGAAACATAAAATTCACCTTATTCACAATCCAATTATTTGGCAACTTGTAATAACAATTTTACTATTTGTTTCTGTATATATTCTCTCCAAAATCCTCACAAGAGTTGTTAATATGTTTCATTGTTATATTACCTCTGGGATGTTTCAGTTTCAGAAAATAGATAATCGGTTATTAGTGAAGAAATATTCCATTTATTTTCTCTTGGCTGACACTTTAATTAGGCTCAATTTATGATTTCTATTTACTATAAAAGCTATACATTTTTTACTACTATATAAATTATAAACAATATCTTTAAATGAGAGATTTTAGAAAATAGCCATTATTTCATTAATTTTTCCATTTTATGTTTCTGGAGAAATCTATTTTTTCTTTAATTTTTGACACTAAATGGAACTCCATGTACTTAGATCAATATCATTGTTCAGTGCTCTCATTTTTGCCAGATATATATATATGTATATATACATATATATATACACACACACATTCAAAGTTCAAAAGGGTATTATACAAATTTAAATATTCATGTCAGTAATAATCCAGATTAGATTTAAGACCATGTCATCCAATAGTATTACTCTCTCTAGGGCACAGTGAAAATGTAGTTAAAAATAATATTTTAATGTTAACATTGATTGGCAAGAATCATGTCTTTCAAATTATTAGCACTTATATTTTGTGCCAATACAAATTCTACAAAATATGCTCTAACAGATATCAATAAGGTTATTGTCATGAGGCATTTACTTTTACTTTATGTTTACTTCCTTTCCTTTTTGAAATTTGTTGTGCAATGTTCAAACATTAACATTTTGAATAGGCTGAATATTTTAATCATTTGTCATTGACAATATAACTTTTTTAAAATTAGAAAAAAGAGAAAGCATTGCAAACATTCAAACTTACCTGCTACCAATTAAGCTCCTCCATGATCTGGACCTTCCCTATTTATCCACGGTATTTCCCACTATTGTTCAATAAGCACCATCCTTTCAAGTCAGTGTTATTTTCATTAAGTTTCTACAAATGCAGATTTCATTACTATCTCCATGAATTTGCTCATGTTGCTTATCTTGACCAGAACTCATTTTTTCTCAAAAATAGGGGTGTGGTGGAGATTTCGGGCAGCAGTATGTGTGACTTTAAAGAAAAGTTATTGTGTGATTAAAAAAAAGTTTAATTTCATTATAGCTGATATAATTTTTATTATATGTGACATATGGAAAACAGATTATTATATATGAATAGTAGTAACACTGGGAATGGAAATGGAAAAGCAGTACATAAATCATACAAGTACATACATAAATAAACCTATGTTTCTATAGAAATGATACTGGGACACCCTTAACTTAGAGCAGTATAAATATAGTACAATAGTTCTCCAAATTTAGCCTATGTCAGAATCACCCAGAAAACTTGTTAAAACAGCTCGCTGGACTTGAACCTTAAAGCTTCTGATTCTGTAGGTCTGAGGTAGGGTCCAATAATTTGTATTTCTAATATATTCCCAGTTGATGCCCAGGCTGCTAGTCTAGAGACTACACTTTGACAAACATTGACAGAGAAATTTTAAAAGTTCAAATTCACTGGAATGTTGGTTTTTTTGGAATACATATGATATTTATTCTTAATATACCTATGGTTCTTCAAAAAATCAGTCGGTTTTAAGTGAGAGACAATTTGTGTACTGCAAAAGAAAGGGTCATAAAATTAGTGTCAGGGAGGAAATAGTGGCAATTCCTTTTAGGCAGAAGACTTATGTTTGAGCTGATAGAAACCAAGACTGGATTCTAAAATAGCTATTTATTCAAATGATGTCTGTTGCAACATTGTTAGGAAGCTGATATCACAACAAAAGTGCCATTCAACAGAGGCCTAGTTAAATAAACTATGGTATGCTCAAATATAAAGGACTTAAAAAGAATTAGATTGATTTGAACAGAAATAGAAAAAAATCCTAAAATTCATATGGAACTATTAATGACCCTGAATAGACAAAGCAATCTTAAGAACAACAAAGTGGAGGCATCACATTTCCTGATTTCAATCTATTTACAAAGTAACAGTCATCAAAAATTATGGTACTGGCATAAAAATAGGAATCCGGACCAGTGGAACAGAACAGAGCCCAGACATAAACATTTTTTGACATGGCACCCATAATATACAATGGAAAAATGGTAATCTCTTCAAAAAATGGTACTGGGAAAACTGGAAATCCTAATCTAGAGAATGAAATGGCAACCTTGTCTTATACCACTCACAAAACGTTAACTCAAAATGGATGAAAGACTTAAAGCTAAGACCTAAAACTGTAAAATTCCTAGAAGAAAACAAAATTAAAATGATCCTTGGTGTTGGTCTTTGCAATGATTTCTTGCATAAGATACCATTAGTAGACAACAAATAAACAAGTGGGACCACATCAAACTACGGAGCTTCTTAACAATAAAGGAAGCAATCAATTGAAAAGGCAACTACCACAGGGGAAAAAATATTGGCAAGCCATATATCTAATAAGGGGTTAATATCCAAATTATAAAGAACTCACATAACTCAGCAGCCAAAAAGCAAATATTCCAATAAGAAATGGGCAAAGGAATCGAATAGATATTTTTCCAAAGAAGACATAGATAAGGCCAATCAGTATTTTAAAAGATGCTCAACATCACTCATTTTGAGAGACATACAAATTGAAAGTAATATGAGATATCACCTCACATCTATTAGGTTGGCTATTATCAAAAAGACAAGAGATAAATGTTGGCAAAGCTGTGGAGAAAAGGAAACCTTTAAACACTGTTAATAGGAATGCAAATTGTTATAGCCATTATGGAAAACAGTTTGGCAGCTTTAAAAAAAAAAAGACATAAAGCTACCGCATGATTCATCGATCCCATTACTGGGTATATGTCTGAAGGAAATGAAATCTGGATCTTGAAGAGATACCTGCAACCCCATGTTCATTGCTGCCTTATTCATAAGAGCCAAGATATGGAAGTAACCTAAATGTTATTTGACAGTTATTTGGATAAAGAGAATGTGACATGCACACACACACACACACAGGAATATTATTTTCAGCCATAACAAGGAAGTAAATCTTGCCAATGCCACAACATGAGTAACTCTAAAGGGATTTATACTAAGTGAAATACATCAGAGGGAGAAAGACATATTCTGTACAATCTCACTTAGATAAGGAATCTAAAAAAAGCCAAACAAACCATTATCATAGAAACAGAGAATAGAATAGCGGTTGCCAGGGGCTAGTGGGAGGATATAGGGAGATATGGTTCAAAGGGTACAGGATTTCAGTTATAAAAAGAATAAGTTCATAGGATCTAATGTAAAATGGTAACCGTGGTTAGTAATATGGTATGGTGTGCTTGAAAGTTGTGAAGAATAAATCTTACATTCACACCACATACAAAAAATCATTAACTATTTGAGGAGATGGATGTGTTATCTTTTCAAAATTTAAGTATTAATTTTTAATAGAGAAAATATTGATATATCATATATTAGTTTCTGTACAACATAGTGATTTGATATTTCTATACATATTACAAAATGATCACCACAATAAGTCTAGTTAACTTCCAACACAATACATATGGTATTTGTCTTTTTCTGATTTATTTCACTTAGTGTAACACTCTCTAGCTCCATTCATGTCATTGCAAATGGCAAGATTTTGTTCTTTTTTATGACTACTATTCCATTGTATATATATATGTATACACCACATCTTCTTTATTCATTCATCAGTCAATAGACACTTGGGCTGTTTCCATAATTTGGCTATTGTAAATAATGTTGCTATAAACATATGTATGTATGCATGTATCCCTTCGAATTAGTAGTTTTGTATTCTTTGGGTAAATACCTAGTAGTGCAATTGCTGGATTGTAGGGTAGTTTTATTTTTAAGTTTTTGAGGAACCTCCATACTCTTTTCCACAGTGGCTACACCAGTTTGCATTCCCACCAACAGTTCAAGAGTTTCCCCTTTCTCCACATCCTCGCTGACACCCGTTGTTTCTTTTGTTGTTAATTTTAGGATGTCTTTGGAAAAATGTTTATTCATGTCTTCTGCCCATTTTTTTAAAAGTTTTTAAAAATTTTTTTATTGTTATGTTAATCACCATACATTACATCATTAGTTTTTCATTGTTTGCGTATAACACCCAGTGCTCCACGCAGAACGTGCCCTCTTTAATACCCATCACTAGGCTAACCCATCCCCCCACCCCCCTCCCCTCTAGAACTGTTTTTCAGAGTCCATCGTCTCTCATGGTTCATCTCCCACTCTGATTTTCCCCCCTTCATTCTTCCCCTCCCGCTATCTTCTTTTTTTTTTTCTTAACCTATGTTGCATTATTTGTTTCAGAGGTACAGATCTGTGATTCAACAGTCTTGCACAATTCACAGTGCTCTTCTGCCCATTTTTTAGCTTGATTATTTGCTTTTTGCGTGTTGAGTTCCATCAGTTCTTTATATATTTTGGATACTAACCCTTATCAGATATGTCATTTGCAAATATCTTATCCCAGTGCCTTGTCTTTCAGTTTTGTTGATTGTTTCCTTTACTGTGCAGAAGCTTTTTATTTTGATGAAGTCCCAATAGTTTATTTGGCTTTTGTTTCCCTTGTCTCAGGAGACATATCTAAAAAGGAAGTTGCTATGGCCAATGTCAAAGAAGTTGCTGCCTGTGTTCTCTTCTAGGATGTTTATGGTTTCAGGTAGCACATTTAGGACTTTAATCTATTTTGAATTAATTTATGGTATAGGAAAGTGGTCCAGTTTCATTCTTTTTGCATGTTTCTGTCCAGTCTTCCCAACACCATTTGCTGAAAAAACTGCTTTTTTTTTTTTTCCATTGGATATTCTTCCCCGCTTTGTCAAAGTTTGACCGACCATAAAGTTGTGGGTTCACTTCTGGGTTTTGTATTCTATCCATTGATCTATGTGTCTATTTTTGTGACAGTGCTAAACTGTTTTGATCACTACAGCTTTGTAATAAAACTTGAAGCCCAGAATTATGATGCCTACAGCTGTGCTTTTCTTTTTCAAGATTGCTTTGGCTATTTGGGGTCTTTTGTGGTTCCATAGAAATTTTAGGATTGTTTGTTCTAGCTCTGTGAAAAATGCTGTTGGTATTTTGATAGGGATTGCATTAAATGTGCAGATAGTTTTGGGTAGTATAGACATTTTAACAATATTTGTTAATCCATTAGCATGGAATGCTTTTCCATTTCTTTGTGTCATATTCAATTTCTTTCATCAGTGTTTTATAGTTTTCAGAGTACAGGTCTTTCACCTCTTTGGTTATGTTTATTCTTAGGTATCTTATTATTTTTGGTGCAAATGTAAATGAGATTCCTTAATTTCTCTTTCTGCTTCTTCATTACTGGCATGTAGAAATTCAACAGATTTCTATATGTTGATTTTGTATCCTGTGACTTTGCTGAATTCCTTTATCAGTTTGAGCATTTTTGATGGAGTCTTTCAGGTTTTTTATATAGAGTTTCATGTCATCTGCATATAGTGAGTTTGACTTCTTCTTTGCCAATCTGGATGCCTTTCTTTTTTGTTGTCAGATTGCTGAGGCTAAGACTTCCTGTGCTATGTTGAATAAGAGTGATAAGAATGAACATCCCTGCCTGTTCCTGACTGTAGAGGAAAAGTTCCCATTGGATATTTCCCCATTCACAGTGATATTAGCTGTTTTTCATATATGGCCTTTCTTATTTTGAGGTATGTTCCCTCTAACCCTACTTTGTTTAGAGTTTTTATCATGAACAGATGTTGTATTTTGTGAAATGCTTTTTTTACATCTGTTGAAAGGATCATATGGTTTTTATCCTTTCTTTTATTAGTGTGATGTATCAAGTTGATTGCTTTGTGAATTTTGAACTACCCTTGCAGCCCAGGAATGAATCCCACTTGATCATGGTGAATGATATTTTTTAGTGTGCTTTTGGACTCACTTTGCTAGTATTTTATTGAGAAGTTTTGCATCCATGTTCATCAGGGATATTGGTCTGTAGTTTTCTTTTTTAGGGGTGTCTTTATCTGGTTTTGATATCAGGGTAATGCTGGCCTCATTGGAGGAAATTGGAAGTTTTCCTTCCT